TGGTACAGTACAATACAAAATTTAAAAAAGATTAAAAATAACTATTCAAATTTGGCCGCTTCTACTAAAAATTTAATTTAAAACCCCTTTAAAATACCCCTAGGCCAGTCCTGCCTGCTGAAATAACCAGGTCTTAAGGGCGCGGCGGAAGGAGGGGAGATCCGGGATCACCCGGATCTCTGGGGGCAGCTCGTTCCAGGAGGAAGAGGAGGAGAGGGAGGAGGAGGAGGAGAGGGAAGAGGAGGAGGAGGACTGGGGGGTCCTTGGTGCTCTCTGAACTTGGTGGTTTTCTCGCAGACGTTTCAATACCCAACTAGGTAACATCCTCAATGCTAGAAGGGAGGGGGGTTTGCAGGAGGGGAGGGGAGAAGGGGGAGATGGCAGAGCAGAAGATGGAGCAGGAGAAGGAGAAAGAGGAGGAGGAGGAGGAGGAGATGGAGAAGATATACCAGGAGGAGGAGGAGGAGAAAGTGGAGAGAAGGAGAAGGGAGAAACCAGAAGGAGAAGACAAAGGAGGGAGAGGGAGAAGAAGAAAAGCAGAAGGAGAAAGAGAGAAAGGAGAGAGAAAGAGGGAGAGAAGGAAAAGGAGGGGAACAAGAAGGAGAAGATGGAAGAGAAGGAGAAAGAAAGGAGGGAGAGGGAGAGGAAGAGGAAGGAAACAAGAAGGAGAAGACAGACAAGGAGGGGAAGGAGAAGATGGAGAAGGAAGGAGAGAAAGAGGAGGAGAAGATGGAGACCACCCCAGGCCTCCCTCCTCAGATCTTCGCCCCCCCCCCCAGCCTCTCCTTCCCATCTTAGCCAAATCCCGGCCTCGGCGGGACACGGAGGAAACCAGATGCTTCCTGCAGGAAACGGCCTACGCTTCCCAGCCAGTTCCAGGAGCTGGGAGAAAGAAAGCTGGAAACAACAGTGGGAACGCGGCGGGTGGCAGCGTCCCCACGCAGGAGCAAACCCCCCCCTGCGCTCCTTCCCGTGCCCGCCAGGGATTCCCGCACGCCTGGTCAGAGAGCCAGTGGGAATGTCGCAGCGCCTGGTTCCCATCCCCTTCGGCCAGGCCCACTTGGGTCCTTGCAGAGGAAGGCGATGGCTGGGTGGCGGGAAAGGGTTGGGCATCGCCACCTTGGATGCCAAGTCAGAACCCTGAGGACTGGCAACCTGCCTTTATTAGTTCAGGACATGGCTTTCTGGGTGGGCTGAAAGCAACTTCCTGGACTAAGGGGCCGGTCCTCAGGGTTCCCTCTAGGGGACCCGTTTCAATTATGCGTTTTTATATTCTGATCGATTGGTTCTTTTTCGGCGGCTCTCTTCCATGCGAAACCCTTTTAAGAGAAACTAAAGTCAAGGTTCTAGTCCTCATGGTTGTGTGCTCCAACAGGGCGGGCTTGAGGGCAGAGGAGGCGCGTGGGATTGGAAGCAACAACAACAAATGGCTTTTTATATCAGGTGACAAAACTGAGACAACCAGAAAGCCGGCAACTATGCTTCTTCCTCAAGTAATAATGCCAAGCTTCCAGTCCTCGTGGATTTGCCTGGAAGTCTGATTTAAATGCTGAAAGGGAGCTTTATGATAAAAGAGTCCCATCTTCATGGTTATGCATGGAGCCAAGTAAATGCTTTATAATAAAGACTTCAGTTCCCATGGTTTTGCATAGACAACTGATTTAAATACATCTCATAAAGACTCCAGTTCTCATGATTCTGCACAGACAACCGATTTAACTACCAGGTTTATACATAATAAAAAAAAATGCCAATACTCATAATTCTGCATAGACAAGTTATTTAAATGCAACACTTCTAAGAAAGATTCCAGTCCTCATGATTCTGCATATAAAACGGATTTAACTACAGCATTTATAATAAAAGTTTCCAGTCCTCATGATTCTGCACAGAAAACCACGTTAAATGTCATGCTTATACATAATAAGGACTCCAGTCCTCATGTTCCTGCCTATTAAACATTTAAAAAACAGCATTTATAACCAGGTTTCCAGGCCTCATGATTCCGCATAGCAAACGGAGGTCAACATTTAGCCCAGTGTTTCTCAACCTTGACAATTTTAAGGCATGTGGACTTCAACTCCCAGAATTCCACAGCCAGCATTGCTGGCTGTGGAATTCTGGGAGTTGAAGTCCACATGCCTTAAAATTGTCAAGGTTGAGAAACACTGATTTAGCCCAGAATAACTTCAACAGGGTTAAATGAGAGTTGGGTTAGTTTTAAATGAAAAAGGGTAGACGCTTACTTCCTGCGGATCCCCAAGAGCGTAGCAACATCCTCCCCGGCACTCTGCCCATGCTCAAGAACCCGCCTGCCCTCTCCAACCCCCGCTAAAACGAAAAATGTTTTAAAAGCGGGACAAAAACTACGCTTCCCGGCCAGCACCGCGGCCCTCTACCGGCGCCACCCGCCCAGCAAGCGCGGTGATTGGAAGGCGCGGGAGTGACGTCACCAGAGAGCGACGGGCGAGTCGCGGAAGCTGGAAGAAAAAGTCTTACTGCGCCCGGGAGAAAAGCGGGGTCGGTGGGTCGTGTGAATGCGGGCGCGGGCAGGGGTCGGCGGTTGCGGGTTTGTCTCTTGGGGAGCATTTTATTTTATTTATTTTATTTTATTTTGCAATAGTTGCAAAGAATTGGAAAGGGCTGGGTGGGCATCCTCTTTTGATTGCTGCTCCTAATAATAAAAATAGAATGGCAATTAGAAGCTGCACAGATGTAATCATACAATAATGAAGATACAATAACCGTATAGATGCACAGATATAACCGTAGTTATAATAAATAAAGAGCCAATAACAATTGCTGTCATTTATAACTTATTTATAAAATGTATTGGCTGCCCGTCTTGCCACAGGGTAATTAAGAAATGCACAGATAACAATAATATATGTGAGTATATTAATATATAGATACAGCCATGGCTGTTAGGAGAGTAATAGTATAAATAGTAATTGTATAGGGTCTCCTACCTGAGCAGGGGGTTGGACTAGAAGACCTCCAGGGTCCCTTCCAGCTCTATTCTGATTGATTGTTTGATGGATTGATTAAAAAGCCCTGGGAAAAAATTGCAAACTTTTCTGTCTGGGTATAAATTCCTGGCTCTTTGGAGGCTGGACTCCTTTTCCCATCCACCTGGCCAAATGGCAGCAGAGTTCATGGGGCTTGTAGTCCTACTTTGTCTGAAAAGCTGACATATTTCTAATGCTTTAAAGTGGATTCCAGATTGTTTTTTTGAGGGGTGGGGAGAAGAGGAGGGCATTGCAGGGACAGGCTGTGGCATTCCTCCTTTGCAGAAGAAAAACAAAAGATTCTGCATGTACTTGCAAAGAAAATCCTTAAAATTTGGGCAGAGGATGTCCTGAAATATACTGAGCTTGCGAATCTCTCCGTTTTCACCGTGGTTTTTTCTTTTTTCCCCTGCGGTTTTTCAGGATCATGACGAAGCTGCTTCAGTGGCTCGGCTCTCTGGCCATCCTGGGTGGCATCTGGGCTGCATTGATGCTGGATCTTGTGGGGCAGCACCCCTTATCCCCAAGCTGGCACCAGGTGCTGTGGCCCTTGCCAATCTACCTGTTGGTGACATTCGGCTGCTATTCACTGGGAGTCGTGGGCTACCGCCTGGCTACCTTCAACGACTGCCAGGAGGCTTCACTGGAGCTGCAGGCACAAATCCAAGAGGCCCGAGCCGACCTCGCCCGCCACGGCATGAAGTTTTGAACCCGGGGCTCTTGTGAGAACAGAAATGACCCATGGACGATAAACGACGGGCGGCATAGGACGGAACTGTTTGGGCTGTGGCCCGGTGGGAGAATCCATCTAAGAAAAAGAGCTGCTTCTTTTTAAAAAAAAAATTTTTTTTTTAATTAAAACTCTGAACGGTAGCAAAAAGTAATCCGGCATCTGAATCAGTGAAAATAGAAAAATAAGAAATGTAGGAAAATAATGCAGAGAATGAGGGAGGGAGGGAGGGAGGGAGGGAAGGAAGGAAGGAAGGAAGGAAGGAAGGAAACGGTTGATAATGAAGGAGGCAAGGAAGACATGGAAGGGAAGGAAGGAAGGAAATAATTAGATAAACAGACAGAGGCAAGGAAGGAAGGGAATAATAGATAGCTAGATAAACAGACAAGGAAAGGAAATACATAAACAGACGAGGGAGGAAGGGAAGGAAGGAAAGAAGGAAGGAAGGAGAAAATGATTGATAATGAATGGAGGAGGCATGGAAGGGAGGGAAGGAAATAACTAGATAAACAAATGAGGGAAGGAAATAGATAAACAGACAAGAGGGAGGGAGGGAAGGAAGGAAGGAGAAAATGATTGATAATGAATGGAGGAGGTATGGAAGGGAGGGAAGGAAATAACTAGATAAACAAATGAGGGAGGGAAGGAAGGAAATAGACAAACAGACAAGGAAAGGAAAGGAAATAGATAAACACAAGAGGGAGGGAGCGAAGGAAGGGAGGTACAAACAGGATTGATAATGAAAGTGAAGGAGGCAAGGAAGGAATAGAGGAAGAACAACAATCCACATTTTTTTTTTAAAAAAACTGCTTCTTCTCCCAAGTCAGAAAAAGAGCTTTTCGGGAAAGGAGCCAGACAGACCGAAATATGGCGACAAAGAAGGAGTGTAGAGCTGATCAAGAATTTTCTTTTCTGCTTCTCTTCCGCAATTAAATTGAATTTTCATTTCTGGAGCGTTGGCAGGTGGGATCTGACGGGAAGTAGGAAATCCCACAATGGAGGGAATTGCTGGCTATACTATTCTAGAGGCTTAGTTTGCAAGGCAGGTGCCAAAGTGGCGAGTAGGTTTGCATATATACAGTATATATGCAAAAGAGACACACGTACGCACCTCCAGGGAGAGAAATCCTTTTTTGCATGCACCCACTAGACTGTTGTCTCTGTTTTAGCTGATGTTTCAGGACCTTGAGCAAACCAGACAAATGAACGAGGGAAGGAAATTAAAATCTTCCATTTAGCACTGGGGGTGTCGCTCAATTCACGGGGATCTGCCCTGTGTTTGAATCATATTAAAAGCATATTTTTCTTCAGGACCGTAGTAATTTTGAACGGTCACGAAATGAATCCTTTTAAGTCAAAAACTACCTGTATTGTGTTTTTTTTTCTCCTTCGGTTGTCTGCCCAAACTATTAATTCTTCATAAATATTAATGCCTTCATTTTTCCTTCACGCTCTGCATTTTTGTAGTCTTAACACACATGGCGAGTTAACGTCGTTTGGGTGTGCCAGATGAATTGTGTCTACAATCCAAGCGCAATGGTAATAATCATTTGGGCTGTTCCTTTCTCCAAAAAAAAAAAAAAAAAAACCAACAACCCAGGATATTCTAGATTTTTTGGGGTTTATTTAACTCACACACCTTCCAAGTTGGCGGGGGCAGCGCAAAGACACTGTTAATTAGAGAGGCAAATAATTAGCCCTTTCCGGAGAGACCGGTGGCTTCAAGGACAGGAAGGCGTGACTCGGTTTCCCTGGCGTTCTGGTCCAACAGGACTTGGGAACACAAACATTTCGGTCGTTCATAAAATTGCACATTTTCCTCCCCGTTCTGCAAAGGGTGCCTTTGTGTAGCTGATGGGGGGGAAAGTTAAACCTGTTTGTTGCACGGACGAAAAGAATCAAAAAGGTTCGGAAGGACTCCGGGAGACCATCTAGACTGACCCCGTCCCAATGCAGGGAATCCTAGAATCGGAGGGTTGCGGGGACAGCTTGGAGATTCTCAAGCTTCTAAGGAAGAATCCACGTCGAGAAACCTTAGAAGTGATTTTACAGAGCATCACCTCAGTCCCTTTCAAATGCTGGGATCAACTAGATGGAATCCCACACTGGAAGGGACCTTGGAGGTCATCTAGTCCAACCCCCCTTCCCAGGAGGAACCCACTATACAGAATCCTCGAATGAAAGAGAACACTGGGATCATGTAGCCCTCCACCCACCCACCCACTCCGGGCAGGAATCCACTCGGCTGATAGCCAAACAAACTCTCCTTTTTGTGTTGTAAGTTCCATTATTATTATTATTTTTTTTTAACCATCTCAACTCTTGATTTTTTGCTCTGGGGAGATAAAAAAAGCAACTCTTGAAAGCAAGGTTGAGTCCCATCCTCTCTCTCCTGTTTATTGCAAGGCACTCATAAAGCTACATCCGTGAAATGTTTCGCCTGGGGCTCTTCTCTTCCATTGGCCCGATGTTCCACAGGTCAAGACCTCAGGGAGATCTCCCACTTAGAAGACAACCCAATGGATCGAAAGAGGGAGATTTTTTGTTTTTTAAAGGCATTTTGTCCTTTTTTAATTCACATTTTTTTTAATCATCTTGTTTTGTCCCTGATTTTTTTTTTTCTTTTGGACTTGGTCTTTTAATCTTCTGAATCAAATAAAAAAATTGAAAGCGGGAGTAAAGGAGGAGGGGGATAATTTTTATGTAAAAAAAGGCATTTCTGGTGGACGGATAAGGCAACTTTGGCAGTCTGAATCAAGTCCTCGAAGGAGAGAGAGAGAAATAACAGATTTCGGAAGCTCAATCTTCAAAACCCTCCAATGTTTTTCCCGACAGCTTTCTGCCCCCTCCCCCAAAAATATCTGGTGGGGAAGAACCTCTACATTCCCCAGACTTAGGGTCTGCAAACCTCTTTTAAAGAGGCCAGTGAGAGAATCCCGTTCACCTTGTTCGGGATCTATTCCCCCCCCCCCCGGGAGTTCACATTCCCTCCCACTGCAAAATGCACGGGAGTAGCCCGGAGTGGCATTTAGTCCGTCCAGATGGAAATAAACCCCCATGCTGGACAGAGGTGGGTAGGCTGTGTGCCACAGGCGAGTTGGGCAATCCAACATCAGCACGTTTGCTGATTTCAGGGGTTTTTTTCTCTCTCGGCTGGCTGTGGAGATCTTCTCCGCTCCCTTCCCGTCTTCAGGCCTGGAGAAGCTTGTAATTTGTTTCCTTTTCGGTGGGATAACGCCAGAAAAGCCAGAAACGTACAAGGCTGGTGGCGATGCCTGGCACGTTGGGAATCTGGAGGAGGAAGAAAAGAATTGTGGGGTCCTCGTGAGGGGGGGGCTCTCTGAGCATGAGCGGTTCTCTTGCAGACCTCTCGTGAGCCAACTAGGGAACAGCATCAGTGCTAGAGGAAGGGGGTGGGGTTAGGGGAGGAGGAGGAGGAGGTGGAGGTGGAGGAGGGCTGTCTCTGTTTTCTTGCAGGGGTTTCATTATCCAACTAGGGAACATCAGCAGTGCTAGAGGAATGTGGGGTTTAGAGGAGGAGGAGGAGGAGGAGGAGGAGGAGGAGGAGGAGAAGAAGAAATGGACAGTGAGGTCCTTGGTGCTTTCTGAGCTTGATGGTTTTCTTGCAGACGTTTCATGACCCAGCTAGGTAACATCATCAGTACTAGAAAGGAGTGGGATTTGCAGGGGAGGAGGAGGAGGAGGAGGAGGAGGAGGAGGAGGAAGACTGAGGACTCCTTGGTGCTCTCTGAGCTTGGTGGTTTTCTTGCAGACGTTTCATGACCCAGCTAGGTAACATCATCAGTAGCATGCAGCATAAACAGAAAAATCTGTCAACAAGCCAACCTCTCTCCCTGCTCGTCCTCTGCCCTAAAACTCAGTTTCTTTCGGCCCAATTCAGGCCCCAACCTGGCCAGATACTAACCGCGATATAAAGATCATCCAGAAGGAGCCCGTAGAAGGTCCAGCTGGCCGACGCCAGGAAGGTGGTGACCGTCAGCGGGAAGGACAAACAGCGGGTGGAACGGCTTTTCACAATCTTGATCTGGAAATAAAAAGATTTACTTCTGCTGGAAATCAAATCTTTATCGGGAATAAAATCGTCCGAATGGCGCAGGCGAGGAGGGGAACGCGAACCCTTTCTTCCCGGCCCCTCCGGCAAAATTATTCGGAGATAATATGTTATTTACATGGTCTAAATGCAGGGGTGAGCACGTCCCTGGTTTTGGCGCTTGCAAAGAACAGGAGTTAATATTAACCACAGTTTGGCTGGATTCCTGTAAGTTAAGCCACATTCACGCTGGTTTTTTACGTCCATTTTTTTTTTTAGTACTTTTCTGCATTTTTAATTCTATTCCATGCCCCGCTTGCATTTCAGGGAGAGTTACAGGACGGGTGCGTTTTATGGAGGCGACATTAAAAAGAGAGCTAGCATATTCATGGTTTCCCTAATTGTAGTTTATGAAATAAGCCACAATTGACGGGTACTCATATGCTAAACTCCACCTTACAAAGCTGAAGGTGACTAGGATTCTGCCTTAAATTAGGCCAACATATGAGGTTTGTTTGGGGGTCCAGATGCCAGCACACCTGCTTAACGGCGGTTACAAGTGAGCTAAGCACTGCATTGTTCAAGACATAGGGAGTCCTCAACATATGACCATAAGTGAGACAGGAATTTCCGTCACTGAGTTTGCAGGGAGGAGGAGGAGGAGATGGCAGAGCAGAAGATCCCGTCAAATAAAATAAATAAATAAATTAAAATAAAAATAAAAATAAAGTAAAATAAAAATAAAGTAAAATAAAAATAAAGTAAAATAAAAATAAAGTAAAATAAAAATAATAAAGCAAAATAAAATAAAATAACCATAAATAATATCTGAGAGAGCATCGCCAACACCTGACTGTCCAGCCTTTACTGGAAAACTCCCTCCAGGTGGCCGCCTGTTCCACTGACTGACAGCCGGTTGCCACTTCATGTGGCAGTCAGTTCCGCCGTCTCATGGCTTACCAACCAGGAAACACTTCCTGACGTACACAAGCTAAGAAGTAGGAGCGGAAGGGCGAGGGAGAGCCGGCTGGCAAGAACCCGCATCGAACCCGGAAAGAGATCCAACTGGACTCTTTAGCAACCAAAGCTTCCTTAGAACCTCCAGCTTCAGTAGAAGTCTACCTCGGAACGCCAAGTAATAGCATCGAGAAGGGTAGAAAAGGCGAAAGACGTTATGAGCTTGCGCAGCTTCTGAAGAGAAACCTTGGGGGGGGTTATTATCTGCGGGCTCCCGAGGGCGAACCTGGCTTGTCTTGGCGATGGCTTAACCTGGGTTGGGCATCAAACCAGGTTAGCGTATTCTTTGCCTCCCTGCACCCTTTCCCGACAGGTGCCTCTTCGCTCTGAAACTCAATCCGGACCCAGCCCTTCTCCCTTCTCTGCAGGCAAAATTAAAATTCTTTTGCCAAGTTTCTTAACTGTCAATGTTTGCTTCCGTCTCTCTGGGCGTTGAGCTGTCCTTAAACCGGAAAAACGGCAGGCGTGCAGCCGTGTGAGCAAACGTGTTGCCGTTTCTCGGGAGGGAATAAGACCAGGGCCTGGCGGGAGGGACTGCGCAAAGCAATAGGTGGAGCTGGGAAAAGGAACACAGCCGGGCTGCTAGTTTACAGGCAGTCCTTGATTTACGACCACAAACTGGGATCAGAATTTCCGTTGCTAAACAGGGCGGTTGTTATGGGAGGGCAGCCTCATTTTATGGCCTTTTTTTGCAGAATAGAATAGAATAGAATAGAATAGAATAGAATAGAATAGAATACAATACAATACAATACAATACAATACAATACAATACAATACAATACAATACAATAAAATACAGAATGAATAGAACAGAACAGAACAGAATAGAGGAATGAAGAATAGAATAGAATAGAATAGAATAGAATAGAATAGAATAGAATAGAATAGAATAGAATAGAATAGAATAGAATAGAATACATAATGAATAGAACAGAACAGAACAGAACAGAATAGAGGAATGAAGAATACAATAGAATAGAATAGAATACAATAGAATACATAATGAATAGAACAGAACAGAACAGAATAGAGGAATGTAGAATAGAATAGAATAGAATAGAATAGAATAGAATAGAATAGAATAGAATTCAGAATGAATAGAACAGAACAGAACAGAATAGAATAGAATAGAATAGAATAGAATTCAGAATGAATAGAATAGAATAGAATAGAACAATTTAGAATAGAATTTAGAAGTTACAATTGAAATATAGAAAATAGGATAGAATATAGAACAGAATAGAAATGTGGAATATAGAACAGACCAGAACAGAATAGAATAGAGAACAGAATAGATAGAGAATAGAGAATAGAACAGAATAGAAACATAGAATACAGAAAACATTTCCCAAAAACATTTAGGAAAGGAGACACCAAAGGCAATTAAATTAACGGAGAATAAAAGATAATAAATGTTTTGTATTTTTCTAATTGGCATTTCCTGGCTGACGTCAACCATGTGGCTCTCGCTAGGCTGTTTTTAAACTTTCTCCCTTTTTCTATCTTTTTTTTTTCCTCTTAAGTTCTCCAAATCACAAAGTTTCTGCAAACTCTGTATCTCTCTCTCTCTTTCTCTCTCTCTTTCTCTCTCTCTCTTCAGTATCGATGACACAATTTGGCTCCTATCAATATTTCCCGCTCATCTGCCAAACATTGAGAAATAATCAATGATGCATCTGTTCCAAAGCAGAAACTACATCTCCCATTCCCGTGTTCCAAGCTACTTACTACAGGGGTGTGTCAAATGAAAGCTGAATTAATTTGATGAACTAACTTAATTTGAAGTAGATTCAGAAGAGGGCACCCTTATGTAATCCTTGACCTTAAGGCTTTTTTCTTTCAGAGTTAAGCTGCTTTGCCTGCCCCTGGCTGAGGCTGAAAAATAGGGAATAATAAGAGTTTTAAACGGCCATGTAGATAAGATGGGTGGCTTTTAGGAGGTAGGAGAAAGAGAGAAAGAGAGAGAGGGAGAGAAAGAAAGAAAGAAAGAAAGAAAGAGAAAGGAAAGAGAGAAAGAAAGAAAGAGAGAGAGAGAGAGAGAGAGAGAGAGAGGGAGGGAGGGAGGGAGGGAGGGAGGGAGGGAGGAAGGAAGGAAGGAAGGAAGGAAGGAAGGAAGGAAGGAAGGAAGGAAGGAAGGAAGGAAGGAAGGAGGATGGCAGATAGATTAGGGAGGCAGGGAGGAAAAGATGATAGATAGATAGACAGACAGACAGACAGACAGACAGACAGACAGACAGACAGACAGACAGACAGACAGACAAGATAGGAAATACTCAGAAAAGTAGAAGATGGCAGCTGTTTGATAGAAAGATAAGTTTGGATGGATAGATGGATGACAAAAGATAGAAAAAAAAACAGATAAATAACTAAAGGCAGAGAGGAGAAAGAAAACAATTATCAAATTTCATCTGTCTCCTGCGACAGCTTTTGCCCCAGATCTCTCTGGCAATAGCCGGGGAACAAAACATCTTTCTGGGTGGGAGCTTTCCCCCTATGACCCACCAAAGATTTGGGGCCTCCAGGATGCTTCCCCACCACCCCACCAAAAGGGGTCGTCTCATTTTGTCAGGCAACGTCGAGGTCCCTGAGCCTCGGCCCGCAAAACCTCCAAAGCCAGGAGCAGAGAAGATGCCACGTACCAGATCCGCCAAGGGCGAGAGGTACATGGTGATGGTGAAGAGGCTGCAGAAGAGGCCCAGCTGGGCAAGGCGGGTGACGGGATCGGGGACCATCAGGCTAAAATAGGCGTAGCCGAAGAGAAGGACCGCCAGCAGGGCTGTTGTTTTCCTCAAGACGGCAAGCTGGAGAGGAAGGGAGAGAGAGAGAGAGAGAGAGGCGTAAAATACGGAGGGTCCTGGGTGCTCTCTGAGCTGCCTTGTTTTCCTGCAGACGTTTCATGACCAAACTAGGTAACATCATCAGTGCTAGACTAGAGGTGGGGTTTGCGAGGAGGAGGAGGAGGAGGAGGACGATGACGACGACGACTGTGGGATCTTTGGTGCTCACTGAGCTTGGTTATTTGCTTGCAGATGTTTCATGACCCAACTAGGTAACATCATCAGTACTAGGAGGATTTGTGGAGAGGAGGAGGAGGAGGAGGAGGAGGAGGAGGAGGAGGAAGACTGTGGGTCCTTGGTGGTCTCTGAACTTGGTTGTTTTCTTGCAGACATTTCATTATCTTCAGTGCTAGATTGAAGTGGGGTCTGCAGAGAGGAGGAGGGAGAGTGAAAGAAGGAGGAGGGAGGAGAAGGAGAAAAAGAAAGGAGGAGAAGGAGAAGAAAGAGGAGAAGAAAGAGAAGGAGGAGGAGGAGGAGGAGAAGAAGAAGAAAGAGAAGGAGGAGGAGAAGAAAGAGAAGGAGGAGGAGGAGGAGGAGGAGGAGGAGAAGGAAAAGAAGAAAGAGAAGGAGGAGAAGGAGGAGGAGGAGAAGAAAGAGAAGGAGGAGGAGGAGGAGAAGGAGAAGGAGAAAGAGAAGGAGGAGGAGGAGGAGAAGAAGAAAGAGAAGGAGGAGGAGAAGGAGAAAGAGGAGAAAGAGGAGAAGGAAAAGAAGAAAGAGAAGGAGGAGAAGGAGGAGGAGGAGAAGAAAGAGAAGGAGGAGGAGGAGGAGAAGGAGAAGGAGAAAGAGAAGGAGGAGGAGGAGGAGAAGAAGAAAGAGAAGGAGGAGGAGAAGGAGAAAGAGGAGAAAGAGGAGAAGGAGAAGAAGAAAGAGAAGGAGGAGGAGGATTACCAGCACAGCATTATAAAAAATATCAAGACAGCTCTATGTTTAGAAAAATGGGAAAATTAGGAGTTGTGGATTTCTCCCGAGAGGCATAATTCCACGTTTAAGTCAATATTTTTTTCAGTTCCCACCCCCTTCGTGGCCGGCTGGTGACCCAGGACACGTGGGTCCAAGAGGTGGAGCTGGACAGCGGGAGAGAAAATTATGGGGACAAGAGCTTTTGTTGACTCAAGTCACCAGCCCTCTTGAGTCAACAAGAGGAGGGAGGGAGGGCTCTGCGTGTCAACCAGAAAGCTACTCAAACATCGGCTGAAAAGATCTCAAAATGTTCCTTGCAAACTTTACTGGACCGTAACGTTGTGCGTAAAACAGGAAATGCGAAGCGAGGCTGATGCGGGTTCGAGACACGTCCGCCCCAAGGCTTCCCTAGGGATCGAATCTGGGCGCATAAGGCTGTTTCCTTTAGTCCTCGGCTTATGACCAATATCGAGACTCCGTTTTAAGTCGGGCAATCGTGAAGCGGGACGCTGTAGGACCGCTGCAGGATTTTACGATCTTTTTTCCAGCGGTCGTTAAGCGAATCCCTCAGCCACGATGGACTTTTTTTTGCTGGAAAGGAGAAATAAATACCAGTTTTCCCCCCCCCAAAAAATATTATAAATTATCATTTATAACCGGATGCGGCCGTAAATAGGGGCCGGTTGCTTAGTGTCCAATATGCGATCGTGTGACCTGTCAGAACTCTGAATCTGGGTCGTTAAGTGGACCTGGGGAAGTCCGTCGTAACTATGAACTGTCACAAGTTGAGGACTATCTGTATACAGGTACAGTCCAACTGCTTGCAATAGTTTAATGACTGTAAAATGGTCATTAAAGGTCGTAAAATGAAGCGAAACCCACTTAACCAACGCCTCAGTTAGCTCGGTAGAACTCCAGAGTTAGGAGCAGTCTACCTTTGAGTGCGACATTTCATTGGCCGAAGAGTGGAGGGGAAAGAATGAAGGTTATTGTTATGGGGGGGGTGTCTTGATTTTTTTGGGGACAAGCTCACCCACCTTCTCTGAGCTGAAGACGAAGTAAACCAGGATGTACAGCGTCTGCAGGGTGGCGCCCACGGCATTAACCACGATCAACGTCCAGTCGCCCTTCAGGGAACCGTAGCTTAGCCAACCCAGGTTGCTGATCCAGAGAGAGAGAGAGAAGGAAACAGATTTTTGGAGCGACCAGTCCACTCCCCTTCTCTGGATGGTCTGAAATGGTCCTTGACTTACGACCGACAGTTAAGCCCAAAATTTATGTCGCTAAGGGAGGCAGTTGTTAAAGTGTGCTTTGCCCTGCTTTACGGCCTTCGGTGACAAGAAACATTGAAAAACGGGGCAAAACTCATTTAACACACGTCTCGCTTATCTGAGATGGTACAGGTTCTCCTGCTTGAGCCGGGGGCTGGACTAGAAGACCTCCAAGGTCCCTTCCAGCTTCTATTCTATTCTATCTGAATTGTGGTCGTTAAGCTGAGGACTGCTTGAAGCTGAAAGGGTTTACATTTATTCCTTTTGAGGGCCTTGGGTTATGGTTGAGTAGATTGGTCATACACAATTATACAGCTGAGGATTGACCCATCTCCCAATCTCGGAGGGGAACCTAGAGATCATTTAGTCCAACCCCCGTCTGCCCCTGCCCGGGCCGCCACCACTACTAGGCTCACTTTACGTCGGTGGTCAGAAAGGGAAGAAACTGGATATTTTCCACGTTTCTGGTTGCAAACATTTTCCGCAGGTCAGTCCTGGGTGCGAGACATGGCAAAACAAAACAAGACAAACATTAGATCATCCCTCTCCTGCCCCATACCCTCGCTCCCCACGGAAATTAATTTCACACCCCATAGCGGTGCTTTGCAAGCCGTTTCAGAGTTGTGATGACACACAGACACACACAGGTCTATGGGGCGGGTTGCCCCATCGCTGGGGGGATCTTCCTGCCCCCCCACCCACACCCCACATAACTAAGCAATGGGGTGCTGATGGTGCGCCTATGGGGCTGAGCCACGGAAAAGGATAGGAGGGGAAAATCCCCCCCCCAATCTTTCCTTCTCAGTGTCAGCACACACAGACACACCCCATAGCCACTTCTGCCCCACAACCACCAGCTTTCCTTTTTCCGTAAACCTGTTTCCTGGCCAATCATTGCCCAGCTCACCTGGGCAGGTAGGTGGAATCCTGGTGGGGGAGGGGGCATTTTTGCTCCACCCACCCGGAACCTCCAGGCCAGATTCTGCATCCACGTGTGCACTGGGGGAGGGGAAGGGGGTCATTTTGCCACAAGGCTAGTCCCCCTCCCCTTATTTCTACTCTGCCTCCAGACCCCCCCCAGCTCTGCTTCCAGCACCTCAACTCTGCTTATAGACCCCCCCAGTTCTTCTTCCAGACCAACTCTGCTTCCAGCCCCCCAGTCCCGCTTCCAGCCCTCCAACTTTGCCTCCAGCCCCCCAGCTCTGCTTGCAGCCCCCGTCCTGCTTCCAGCCCCCCAGCTCTGCTTGCAGCCACCCAGTCCCGCTTCTAGCCCTTCAACTTTGCCTCCAGCCCCAGTCCTGCTTCCAGCCCCCCAGCTCTGCTTAGAGACCCCCAGCTCTGCTTAGACCCCCAGCTCTGCTT